TTATTTTTTAATCTTTTTTTTCGCTTTTCTTTTTTTTAAATCATTTTATTAGAGGCTCATACAACCCATCACAATCCATACATATATCAGTTGTGTAAAGCACATTTGTACATTCATTGCCCTCATCATTCTCAAAATATTTGCGCTTCACCTAAGCCCCTGGCCTCAGCTCCTCATTTTTCCCCTCCCTCCCAGCTCCCCCCTTCTCAAAATTTTTTTAAATATAGTGGAGAAGAGGCGGACGTTGGAAAGATGGCCATGTGAACATGGAAGCAGAGGTTGGAAGGATGCATCTAGAGTCTAACGATACCAAAGGTTCCCGGAAATCACCAGAAACTGGAAGACGCAAGAAGAGTCTTCCCCTAGAACCTTCGGAGGAAACCTGGTCCTGCTGATAACCTGATTCTGGACTTCTGCCCTCCAGAACTGTGAGCGATTAAATTTCTGATACTTAAAATCAACTTAAGTTTTTTTATGTGTTTTTTTTTAGATTCTGCGGACAAACTATGCCCCCTTTCCTCCATCAGTCAGCCCTTCACTCGTCCTTCGCACCCGCCTCGGTGCTGGGAGTAAATTCTGACCTCGTGCAGGGCTGGTCTCATCCCCCAAATCTCAGAAATTGTGGACTTCAGAAGAGTGAACACGCTACACAACCCCTGGGTTGGGGGGAGATGACTGCAGAGAAGAGGAAAAACTGACGTAGAAAGTGACCGGATCCAAACAAGAACCTGTCCTGAGACTGTGGCTTAGTACCACCCTCACAGAGAGTAGAGAGCTTGAATCTGGCCCAGAGCGTCCCTCTCTGTGTCACCCCGAACTGAGTTCCCTTGTGACCGGAGTCGCTCAGCCTACAACAGTAGCAAGAGGTGGCCAGGGTGCCAACGGCTGGGAGGAGTTGCTCAGCCAAACCCCAGAGACCTGAAGAGTGAGTCGCGGGGCCCACTCAGATCATGTCAGAGAGCAAGAGAGAGGAACTGGGGTTTGCGACTCCTGTGGCTTTGACGGTTTCCTGTGTCAGCAAGGCTGCTGTACAGAAAGAAAGAAATCGCCAAGACGGGAAATGGCGGTGGGGCCCAGGATGGTGCGCTGAGAGCTCGCCCTGCATTCACCTGCTGTCTTGCCCCATCGGGGGCCGGAGCCGAGACCTGTGCAGGAGCTGGATTACTTTCCTGAGTGCCTGGGGTTGAAGCCCGGGACCCGGAGGTAATGGATGAGGAGGATGCTTTTGGGTCTAGGTTTCAGCCTCTGACTTTGGAGGGGATGAGGCCGAAGGAGACAGAGGCGTTGTGTCTGCCACCCTGCCCTGAGCTGAGAAGGAGTAAGAGGCATAGTTTAATTAAGAGTGTCGGCAATCTGGGTAACCAAGAAAGGGTTCAGAGGCATCAGCCATAGCCCAGGGGTCTAGCTTCTGTCTCTCCTCTCCTCTAGCCACTAGATTAAATTAGAAGCAAGTCAAAAGACGTGAGGCTCGGGCTGCCTCGTGACAGAAGCAAGAAGTAAATGGCCTTTTTTGGTTTCCATGCAATCAGGGATGCCCGTAATACGAAGCTGCCATTCTAGCAGCTTAGCTGCAGCCCCTGCCCTGACAGCTCAGGATGAGAAAGGCCAGCAAGTCATCTAATACCTCTGTTGCACACACGGCCGGGAACGGGAAGCAGCAGCAGAGCCTTGGAAAGGCAGGTGAGATGCAGCCGTACTAGGCGTTTGTCTCTGGGGACTGCTCCTTCCATGTTCCAATAAGACCCCATCCCCACAGAAGGAATAGCCAGAGACCCTTCCAGCACCAGGGATAGCAGAAAACGTGGCTAATGAAAGCCCAGTGACCTTTCTTTGAACCCCACACACCCAGTTCCATTTTCCTCTACCGCCCTGCCTTATCAATCAGCCATCTCACATGGCTTCTTGTTTCTAAGCAAGTCACAATGGTTGCATTACTGAAAGCAGGGTATGGCGCCACTCTCGTGTGCCACACCGGATGTGGGTGCCTGAGGACCCAGGAACACTGTCCTAAGGAGCCATTTTACTGCAACTCCACTCTTGAGCAAGAGGCTCCGACATCCACCCCTCTACCATCTGTTTCTGTGCACCCAAGGCAGGGGGTGAGCCCAAAGATTCGTCTCAACTCCCACGACCCCAGCCCCAACTCCACCCCTACTAGCTCATGGGAGGATTCTGAAAAATAGGGGGATTTGCTTCAACTACAAAGCCTGAGGGTAACCGGGGGGCCAGAGGGGGGACTTAGCCCACCACACTAAAAAGAGTGGGATTCAGCCAGGATGAACCCCAATTCTTCACCCTTATCGGTCCTTTTTAGCTAGCCTAATTGAAACGTGATTGTGGCCAGAACACAGAGAAACTCTTTGCTTTGCGGGCCAGACAAGCCAGAGAAGCCCATTTTATTTCAAGGTGAGGCTAGCCTGCCTTCAATCAAAGAGAGAGAGAGGTGGGGAGAATTCCAGGAGTAGCTATTCTTGGTCCTGGGGAAGTGGGAGGTGAGCTTGGGGTCTTTACCTTGTGGCACTGAGTCAAGAATACCCACGTTCAGCTTGGCAGAGGGAACGATTACCTCATTTTCATTACCATCAAAGGCTAATAGTTATTGTGTGCTACATGCCAGGTGCTTCGTGCGCATTTTTTCATGTAAGCCTCAAACCCCACTAGGTAGATATTAGTTTCATTTGATACATAAGGGAGTTGAGGTTTCGGGAGGTACAGCAGCTTATCAAAACGCAAACAAAGAAAAACACAGGTAGAAGATGACAGAACCAGGATACGAATCCAGGCTGCACCCCAGATTCACTCTGACACCAGGATGGGGCTCTCATGCACCACTGGTGGCAGAATGTCCCCAGTGCTGTGGCGTAGGGATGCCCCTAGCACGGTTCTGGACATGATGTGCAAATATCATGCCTGAGTCTCCTTCACTCTTTAGAATGGATGGACCTCTCCAATAGTTGACTCTGTTTTTCCATTAAAAATTTAAAAAAAGATGTGGTGAGTGAAAAACCAAGAGACTCCCACGGAGTAGGGGTGAGAAGAGAAGTCTGAAGCAAGGAGACAGCCATTCAGGGATGATACCGAGAGACCCGACATTGCCAACTTCCCAGTTCTGCTCGGGGTCAGGCCTGCCTGAGACCAGTGTGCCCCTCATGCTCTGGAGGGACGGCCAGCCATATGAGAGCACCCAGGTCTCTAAGACCCCTTGGAAGCAGGGACGATGTCCCACTCCTCATGCTGGGCAATGGAGTAGCATCATCACAGAGAGAGCAAACGCCCTGCAGAGAATGCCAGGGCAGCCCACGTGTGAGAAAGGGACAGAGAGGCAGGTACCTACTGAGTCTGGTTGGCCTATCAAGGAACATGAGCACTCCCACCTGGAGAATACCTGGTGGTGGCTGAAGCTAAGATTCCCTTCCTGTCCTGGCCAGGGATCAAGGTTCCCAGGGTAGGGATGGGGAGAACCCTCCAGTGGCTTCAGCACAGAGGTCCCACGTCCTTCACAGTTGTGGGCTGACTGACTTCAGCCATGACTGGAGGACAGAATTCTCAGGGCTCAGGACCCAGCTCACTCAAGTCCACCCCAAGTCACCAGAGGCATCGGGGTGCACTAGAAAATGGGCACCTTTGTAGACGGTAGGCGGAGAGAGTAGGACAGAGGGAAAGGCAGAGAGACGGAGGAGCTCAGGGTTTGAGTGCTATGAATGGTGGAAGGTGAGCCCATGCAATGAGCCCCCGCGTGTGGCCTCTCTCTCCATTGAGTTCGGGTCTCCGAAGACTGTGGGTTACTGGCTATTGTTCTTATTTGGGGATTTTGTTTGTTTGTTGATCAGACCTTCGTAAAGGTATAATTCATGTGGTTACTGATTTTGATGGGCCCAGGAAGATTTGTGGGCTAAGGAAAAGAGTCTTGGGAGCAGCCTTTGCTCTGACAGGGAAGAGTTCTAGAGAGAAAAACGAACAAACCAGAACCCTCAGTTGGGAGTGGCATGAGCCAGGAGCTCTGAAATTACGTATCAGCAGCACTGGACGTGTGGTTGGTACTCGGCCAATACTGATCTGATCTGGTGCTGAGAGTCAGAGCCCAGTCCTCGGCTGGGAGTGGGATGTCAGTAGGCTGATTTCAGAGCTCCAAGATGGTGGCAGTAGGGTGAGCTCTTCCTCCCCGCCAGTCATGCCCGGGACTAGACTCACAGGCTAGGCATGAAGGCTCAAGATGACAGCAGTGGGTGCTGGTCACCTACCAGCCACATCCCAGGGTGGAATCTGGTTCTCTCTCCAGGCCTGGAGAAGAGTCATTCACCTATTTTAGTAACAAGGTAGGCCAAGAGAACATTAATGATGCTGGCTTTTCTTCTAGATTGTGAGCCCCAAAAGTATAGCCAGCGAGTTGGTCCCAACGCCCAGGAGCTCTGTAGACCACAATTTAAAACAACTGTTCCTCGGTGATTGTCAAAACCGTAATTCTTCACTGGAACACACAAGCCTCATTTTTCAACCAAGGAGAGGCTGGTGGGTTTAAATCACTCACCTGTGGTTCACAGTCCACCTGGTCACCCCCTACCCCACTATACCCCTCTCCCACATCCCTAGATGGTGAGAAGAGACAAATTTAACTGGTTCTTTAGGAATAGGCCTTGAACAACCCCAACCAACACCATCCAAAAGGTTAAAAGCACATTATGCTCTTTATCATTTCCTACATCCCGACTTAGAGGCATGGTGAGATCCCAGTCATGGGGGAAGTGGTGCCCTTCTCCCTTTATAAAGTGAGAGACACATGCTAAATAAAAGCAAGATTGCCAGGGCCTGACATCCAATACGACACCATCAACCCACACATATGGAATGCTTTGCTATTTCTGCCCCCCTTGTCTGTAGAGGCAGTACTTTTTCTGCCCATCTTCTGACCCCTCCCCTTCTCCTCCCTCTTGCCATCTGGCAGATCCAGGCAGCTATTCCAGGAGCTGGAATCTAAGCACAACAGGTGCTCGGAGGTCATCATGCTCAGCCCAAGCGTCAGGCCCTCCCCTGGCTTGGCCTGGTGGGCTGAGAGCTACGAGGCGAAGTGGCAACGCCGACAGGAGAGCCGGGAGAGCCGCTGCTGCCGCCCGAACAAGACCACTTGCCACCAGGTGGGGAAGGCAATGAGGACCCGGCAGAGAGAGCAGTACAAGCAGGCTCGGCAGAGGCAGTTCTTCAGGAGAAGGAACCTGGAAGTGGAGGAGAAAGGCAAGACGCGGGGTTCCCAGGCTCGAGAGCAGCATCCCTGCAGGAGACCAGGACAGACAAGTGACCTCAGTGCCTCCTCATCCAGTGCCAGCAGGAGTTCGTCCCCCAGACACCAGGTGGGCCATGTCAAGGGGCATCCTGCCCTGCAGTGTGGGAGGAGCTGAAAGTCATTAAGACTTGATGTAAACAAAGCCCCTTCTTCCTGCACTGAAGCCGCCATTAGCATTTACAAATTCAAATAGTTTCACGTGTGTCTGTTTCATTATTGTGTCTTTTAGAGGAGAAAAATACCTTTCCAAACAATTTCATAGGTAATATTTAGTTTAACTCAAATTTAAGAAACCTCAACTTCAACACCTACCTTACACCATTCATTCACAATTCAACAGATATTTAGTGGATGTCTATTATAGACCCAGGAGCCCTGGTGGCCCTGTGGTTTAGGTATTGGGTTGCCACAAGGTAGGAGGTTCAGACCCACCAGTTGCCCTGAGGTGGAAAGACTAGGCTGCCTACTCACATAAAGAATTAGTGTTGAAAACCATATGTAGGATAACTGTGAGCTGAAATAGATTCAATGGTAGTGGGGTTTTGGTTTATTATAAACCAGGTAGCAGGACAATTCCCTTAATGCTCTCTCTCTCAGGGTGTGAATGTGCACACGTAAACACACACACACACACACACACACACACACACACACACATTTCCCTTATGTTGCACTCACATAACCTCCCTTTCTCTCAGGCCAATTCCACTAAATCTCAGAGAGGGCCTCATCTGGTCCAGGAAGCCAGGCTGCCTCTGTTCTCTATGGGCCTGTGTGAGATGATAAATCTGAGAGTGTGAACCTCCTAGAGGACCCTCTAGGGTGGCCTGGGAAGAAGCAGTGTTGGCAACAGAGCAGGGTGTGCTGAGATGACCTCACCCAACAAGTGATCCGTTGCATCCCGCTCATGTAGTGCGCATGTTGACAGTCGCGATGGGCCTGCCCTTTGCCCTGGGAGAGTCTGGCCTTGAGCTGTTCCCAGGGTAGGCACCCCATCAGGGCTTCACTAGTGGATCTGTTACCACCGGATATCTGATTGAGAAGTTGATCCTGGAGCACTGTCGGGGCCCATCTTAACAGAAAATCCACTGTGTGCTTACTGTTGGAAGGGGGAAAGTTTGCATAAAGAAAGGACAAAAAGTACAATGAACTAAAGGACTCTACTTCTAGCCCATCGGTTATTTAAAATTTCATCATGATTGAGTCCAGCCACATGATTAAATCCCATAGGCATGTCTACGTTTTTTAGGATTATGAATTTGTAAGAAGAAAATATTTTTGTAAAAGGCTACTAAGTTATGGTAAGAACTTCTGTATAACCCCCGGCTCTTCCTCCTTTTCACACAAAACCATGGTGGCTTCCAGTGATGGTGCGCAAGCAGCCCAGGTGTAGAATATAAACAGGGCCTGCACCCTGTTGCCATCAAGTCCATCCCGCAGCACTGCCCCAGAGGGTGCCCAAGGCTGTCATCCTGCCAGTCACAGACTGCCTCATCGTTCTCCTGCTGAGCAGCTGGTGGGTTTGAACCATTGACTTCGTGATGGGCTGCTGAGAGCTCCAGCGGCTGTGCCACTGCCTTGGAAGGAGGCGTCACCCAGGCCTCCTCATGACATAACAGGAAAGTGAGACCCAGAGAAAGTCATGTAGCTGATGAATGCAGGATGTGAAACTTGATCCCCTTCCAACCTAAACCAGCGCTCTTTCCACCCACCATGCTAGCTATTTTAATAGTTGAAACCCAACAAGGCTGCTCATGGATTCTGGAAAGAATAATTGGAGACAATCCAGCTCCCCATTTCCCTGGTCTACTAGCTAAGACAAGGAAAAGCGGGAGCAGGGACAACTCGGATGGGTTCTGACAAGTGGAATTGGTTACTTTGGTTTTCTGAGCCTGAAATAAGCTCATTAATTCATTGTGGTGCAATTAGCTGGAGAATGTTCTTCTAAGAGGGTCCCCTACTTGCTCCCCAGGTAGCAGGGACCAGCTCTGAGGACATTCCAACCCAGCAGCATCCTCCTTCAGATGACCAGAGGGATGTAGCTGACCACCTCTTCTTACAGACTCGGGATCTTCCACCTCACAGCTCTCCCATGAAGAAGCCGCCCAAACACCACCAAGGTAAGAACCAAGGCTCCTCGGATGATATGGCCTGCGGTCAAATGTGCATGCCCCCATCCCCCGCCTGTCCTCACTTTCTCTGAGAAGGGCCTCTAACTCAGCGCATCCTCCTTCTCTCAGGCACTCAGACCAAGACAGAAGAAGCACAGCTAACAATCAAGAATGACGCCAGTCAGCAAACCAAGTGAGTAACTCACTCGGATCCCAGCACCCTTCCATCCCAACCATTACTCTGGTACTTAGTGTCAAAGCCCTTTTTAACATCCCACCCAGCAGGTAAAGGAGTCTCCGGGAGTGCTGTCTGGTAAGTGTTGGGCTGGTAACTGGAAGGTCTGCAGTTCAAAGAACTTGAGATCATCTGGTCCCATAGGGATTCACAGCCTCAGAAACACTGCGTAGGATCACCGTGAGTCCTAATTGACTCAATGGCAATGGGCTTGGCGTGGGGGCAGGGAAGACCCAGCTAATGAAGGACCACAAAGAATTTCTATGTCACCTTAATTAAGAAAGAGGAAGCCTTCTCCACTGTTGCCTCTTCAGATGAGACTGAGAAAGAAGCTTGTCTCGTGGGTGCATCCCCATCCTCTGTTTTCTTTTCTTCTTAGTTATGGAGTTGCAGTTCTGGATAAGGTAAGAGAGCCCTTACTTGGCAGGGGTTGAATGAGTTGAGAGCTAAGTGCTGACTTTCTAGACTTCCACAATAAACTCAGGCTGGGATGGAAGATGATCTTCCTGCAGGGCAAGGGGTACTGAGCATAGACATGGGGGCCTAGAGGGACCTGCCAGAGCTAAGACAGAAGATGCCCCCACTGCACAAGACAACCCAGGCTCTGCTTCCATGTTTCCGGGTTTCATAGTACTGATTATCTTTGATACCCTTTTTCTTTCTTTCCAGGAAATCATCCAGCTTTCTGAGTACCTCAAAGTAAGGGAACTGTGAGTTTGCCCTCCTGCCCTTCCATTCACCTCCCTTCCTTCTCCAGGTTAACTTTGTGGACTTATATTTCACCCCCTGCCCCCACCCCAGGAGGCCCTACAACGAGAACTAATCTTAAAACAGAAAATGGTGATTCTCCAAGACCTACTGTCCCACCTAATTCAGGCCTCTGACAGCTCCTGGAAGGTAAGGGGATGAAATGTTTGATCGAGTCTTCAGGGGCTTCTAAGTATATCCAATTCACCGTCTTTCCAAAGCATCTCAATGAGAATGGGTGTCTTAGGCCAGGTTGACTAGAGAAACAAATCCAGTGACATTCAGATATGTGTGTAAAAGAGAGCTTTATATTAAGAAGTAATTATACACCAAACAAAAATCCAAGCCAATCCATATCAAGTTCATAACTCCAATGCTAGTCCATAAGTCCCTCTTCAGACTCACACAACCACCTGATGCAGAATGCAGGACCATCACTGGTTGGTGGGAGCAAAGTCTTGTGGATCCAGTAGCAGTGTCGGCATCACAGGGCTCTGGCAGTTCCTAGTGTGGCTCTTCAACAGGAAGAAGGTGAAGTCAGAAAGAGAGAGAGAGAGGAAGTTCTCAGGATCTTCCTTATGAGAAGGCCCCACCCACCAGGAAGTACCATGGGGCTATGACCTGGTTGACAGGCTAGACTCCACACCTACACTTTTATATCTTAAAGTTGACATGAAATTATGAAACTACCACAAGGGGTTTTCTCACTGCTATGGAGTGGGCTGGGAAGAGGCAGGAGGTGGGAGGGTGGTGCTAAGACCTACAGGCTAAACTCTCTCTCACTCACTGTCACTGAGTTGCTTCTGACTCTTAGCTTCCCTAAAGGACAAGGTAGAGAGCTGCCCCTGTGAGTTTAAGACTGTAACTCTTTTCTGGAAAAGAAAGCCTTATCTTTCTCCCATGGAGCAGCTGGTGATTTTGAGCTGCTGACCACATAACCCACTACACCACCAGGGCTCAGCGGCCCCAGTATATACAGGGGAGAGCTTAGCCAGAGTGGTCATCAGAGAGTGGTGTTACCACAGAGACACAAAGCCAAGAAGAAAAAGCAACAAGAATTCCCATTTTTCAGACTCGTTGGAAGAAGGATGATCCCGAACCGTTATTTTATGATAAGATGTCAATGAACTTATATATATATGAGATTTGCACCAAGTCAGCCTATGCTCGCTCTCCACCTAGGCCAGAGTGTCAGAATGGGAAGAGACACTAGAAATCACCTGGTCTGACCTCTTAGTTGGCAGATGAGGAAACTGGGTCTCAAAGAGGTCAAGTGACTTGCCCGAAGTCACACAACTAGATAGTGGAAGAAATAGGACCAAACTTCAGGCTTCTTGATTTTAGTCCATTCTTGCAACAAAACTCGTTGATCATATTCTCTATACCGAGCACTAGGCTAGCACTAGAAATAGTGAGATGAATTAAACAGTTCCTGCTTTCTTAGTGAACATGTGGTTTTGTAAGGGAAACAAATAATAATTAGAGATGAGAAACGAAAGCTAGGCTGCCAGAGTATAGTAGACTACAAGTATGAATGAATATTCCTGGAGCAGAGAAGAGCCAGGGAAACATTTATGGTTACATAAGTACTTGCCAAGTAGACATGGAAACAGGGAGAGTCTTCTACACAGGGGACACAGCCCGGCAAAGACCCAGAGGCATGATGCCATCAAGTGCAGCCAGCAGTCCTCCAATTTTGTTAACTTGGGACTCTTCCCATGATAGAATTTACCATACTAGAAATTCAAAAAGAAAAATGTAAACATTAGTTTTTAAATTGAAATAAATCCCATTGAATGATAGAAGAAACTACATGTTTTTATAAAGAGAAGTATATTTCTGAAACAAAAAAAAAGTGAGAGAAATGTCATGTTTTTTTTTTCTCTAATTTTGCAAATCTTTATCATGTCTGTCTCTTATTCTGCATTCAAATGGCTGCAATTAAGTGCTTTGATTAATGTATCTGGAGAAACGCTGGTCTTGTAAAGATGGTTTGTTGGGAAAGTCAGGACCTTGAAAATTTCTTGAAAGGGATTTGCGGGTTCCCAAGGACCCCACGTTGAGCACCTGAGCCCAGTCGCTCAGGAAGCTCCATGCAGCGTGAGACCACAAAAGCCAGCAGCGCAGCCATCAAGAAAGCAAGCAGGCAGCGCCACTGCGCTCCGAGAATACCCATCCTACTGGCTGGATGGCTTGTGCTTAGAGAGATGCAGTGGAGCAGGTGGAAAACCAGATGTCTTCAATGATGCTTTTTAGAGTGATGCTTTCCTCACTTCGGTCATTGTAACTGGATGTCGGTGTCCATGGTGGAACCTGCTGGTTGTGCAGAAAGTCATTGTCAGTAGTCAAGTAGGAAGCCTGAGGCAGATAGCTCTATCAGTGATGTCCAGCGTTGAACTAAATTGAGATAGGAAAAGCAAAATAAAACAGTGGTCACCGAATGGATAGAGAACAATGGTAGTGCTGTGATCAAGCTCACCTGTCAGTTAACCAAAAGACTGGCTGTTCACTCACCAGCTGCCCCAAACGAGAGAAAGGAGGCAGTCTGCTTCCCTAAGATTCTCAACCCCAAACACCTCACTGCCGTGTAGTTGATATCAACTCTAGTGGCCCCATAGAACAGTCAAACTGCACCCTGTGGATTTCCTAAGACTGTAAATCTTCACAAGAGGAGAAAGCCTTGTCAATCTCCCACAGAGCTGCTGGGGGTTTCGAACTGGTGACCTTGCAGCTAGAAGCCCAATGCATAACTCACTATACCCTTGCAGCCTTGAAACCCCTATGAAGCAATTCTCTGTCCTGTAGGGTTACTATGATGCAGAACTAACGTGACCACAGTGGCTATTAATGGAGTCTAGTGACCACATGTGTGTGAGAGACTGTGTCCAGGGGATTTTCTTTCTTTCTTTTTTAGTGTGCTTATAATATTTATTCATTCACTTCATAAAACTCATTATACTTTTGATGAAATACTACATTTTTATTCTTTTTAAAAAAATCATTTTATTGGGGGCTTGTACAACTCTTATCACAATCCATACATCAATTGAATCGGGTACGTTTGTACATATGTTGCACTCATTCTTTTCTAGACATTTACTTTCTATTGAGCCCTTGGTATAAACTCTCCCCCTCTCCCCTCCCACCCTCATAACCCCTCGATAAGACTGTACATTTTCATTTCCCACACCAACTGCTGTCTCCCTTCCCCCATGTTTTCTGTTGTTCTTCTCCTTGGAGGAGGGGTGTATGGTTATGTGTCGAACATTGTGATCGGTTCCCCCTTTCTCCCTTCTTCTCCAGAACCATCTTCCCCCTACCGTTCTGGTATCACTATTCCCACTCCCTTTCCTTCCTGGATTCTATGTGTCATGAGCTCCCATTCCTTTCTATACCTGTGTACATGTTCCGGTCTAGTCTGAATTGAGAAGCCACACTAGGGTCATGGTAGTGGGGGGGGGGGTGAGGAAGCCTCAAGGAACCAGAGGAATATAGTGTGTTTCATCGATGCTTTACTGCACCCTGGTGACTCATCCCTTCAGTGGCCCCATGGTCTACAGCCCCCCTCGTTCTCAACAGTGTTTTTTGTTTGTTATATCTCTGCTGATACCTATTACCGGGTCCCTATGACTCCTCATGATCGCACCGGCAGTGTGCTTCTTCCATGTGGGCTTGTTGTTTCACTGCTGTGTGGCAGCTGGTGTAACTGCAAGCCTTCAAGAGCTCCATGGGGTTTTCAAAGGCTGACTTTTCCCAAAGTAGATCACCACCATGCCTTTCTTCTGAGATGCTGTGGGAAGACTTGAACCTCCGATCTGCCTGTTAGCAGGCAAGCCGTGTTAACTCTTTGAGATACCCCAGGGCTCCATATCAAGAGACTTTCACTCATTTATTGGATAGGTAGTTAGTAAGCCTCAACTAGGTGTGTGGCCTTGTGCTATAGGGGCAAAAATTAATAGGATCTTTGCTCTTAAAAGATTCACAGTCTAGCTAGGATGAAAGAGGCACGTAAAAAATAAACTCACTGCCATCAAGTTATAGTGAACCCCGGTAGGTTTCCGAGAGTCTTTTCTCCTGCAGAGCTGCTGGTAGTTTAGACTGTCGACCATAAGGATCACAGCCCAACACGTAACCACCACTAAGCCACCAGGGTTCCTTAAATAATCAACCGAATCAGTCTAATAAAGGTGTAAGAGCTAGGTATAAAAATGTTCCAGGGAAAAGAGAAGGGAGCCGTGATCCTCCCTAAGGTGGCATAGGGAAGGTTCCAAAGGAAAGAGGTCCCTTTCCCTGGGTCTTCCAAGATGGCTATGAGTTTGCTGACCCAAAAGGAAGAGTGATAACAGGGGAGAGAGAGCAACAAGGAGAGTTTTGAAGGTGAGAGAATCAGGTGGTGTACTGGTGACAAAGTGACAGTTGGTTTTAAGTGATCCATAAGGTTGGCAGTTCAAAACCACCAGCTCCTCTTTGGGAGAAAGACAGGACTTTCTACTCCCATAAACTGTTACAGAGGCAGTGGTATCTTGTCTTAGCAAAGCACTGGGGGCAGCAGTGTGTGGCTAAAACATGTCAGGGAAGAAAAGAGGAGAGACCAGAGGGGACTTCAGACAGTCTCTAGAATTATACCATTTGAACATTTCTGTTGAATGCAATGTCTCAAGTTTAAACAACAATGTACAATCCCTTATTAAAGGATGGCGGTGGTGGAATCAAATGTATACATTCAAGGGGACTTCAAAAATTCTTGAGAAAATGCAACTGAGAGATAATGGAATGTTCCACTGTTTCATGGGAAGAAACACTGCTGATACTAGCAATAAGCAGGGTAGCAAGGGAACTCAGCCTTGTTCCAGTTTGAAATTTAGAGTCTGGTCCATCCTTAGAAGGAGCATAGTGGATGTCAATGATGTTGCATTGAAAGCAAACGAGCAGATGCGGCTGCCAGGTTCTCTGGCAACAATGACGACCCCGCCTTCAGGTGGGTGGAAGTTCTCCTGATACGATGAGGGGTAAAACAGAACCAGTCTGAATGATAGCTGGCCTAGTGGGCCCAGGGAGGAGTATTACGAGGTATGTCTGAAGGGGTTGGCTTCACCTCCACAGCCCAGGCGGCGGACAGAAGTTGCTGGCTGTGGTTTTCTCCCTCCGTTCTTCCCATCCCTCCCAGAACCCACTCACCCTTCTCGACTTCCTCCTCTTCATCAACACCCAGTTTCCTGTTTTTAAGAAAAACCGTCTCAGGCGTTTCAGTTGAGAGCTCTGGCTTCCCCCAGAGCAAGACAACTCAACTCCCTCCCCATCCCTGAAAGCCTCAACTTAAATGAAACGGACAGCCCCCGTCTGCGGTCTTTAGAGAAAATTATTTGAAGAATGTGGCCAGAAATGGGGCTGTGACATGCAGCCTGGTGCAGGTCTTTATTTCTTCCATGTGGCTTCCATGGTTTGACTCTCCAACCTCACATGCAGAGCTGCTGACCACAGACGCTTGATTAGAACCCTGAGGATCGGCTCCCTCCTTGGCCTTCGCACCCCAAGCTGGGCCTTTTGGGTGCAGGAGGCCCGGGCGCTGCTGAGGCGCCTCAGCTGGGTCCCGTCAGAGCAGGCACAGCTTGGGCAGAAGAGAAAGCGAGACTCTCAACTTCAAGGGCCGATGGGCCCACTTGCATTCTAAGATCTGCAAAGTGGATTGAGATCTGCAGATGACAACCCAGCGGGGGATTGGCTGCAAGCTGGCCCCCACCTCGGCTAGGGCAGATAGAGGAGCTGTGCGCTGCTTCTGCGGTGAGGAGGTGGTGGTGGTGTTGGTGGAGAACACATCACAGGCAGGGGACCAGCAGGCACCAGCAGGAGCTCGAGCCCTCAGACCAGCACCAGGTGTGTATAGCCTCAGTCTGTGCTCCTAGGTCTTGGTCTCCTGGGTGTGGCTGCCTAGCAGGTCAGACTGGGCTTGTAAAAGTGCCTTTTCTTGCCGACTGTAACACTGGGCTTCAGTGTGGGTGAGCCACCGGGCCCCAAACCAGGAAACTTGCTCCATGCCTCATTTGCAGCAACTTGACTGTGACTTTTCTGCCTAAGCTGGGGAGTCTGGGAAGGCAGAGCTGGGGACAAGAGATTTCGTCAAGCCCCAGACTTGGGTGGCCCTTCATCTGCACTGAAGGGGCTCTCCTGAATTATCTTCTATTGCAACACGGCTGGGAAAGCCATCTACGGTTGGGTTAGACTGCGGAAACAGTTGGGAGAGGCAACATATTGGATGAAAGCCCTACTACAGAATAGGGAAAGCAGAGCTCCAACTTGGGAGGAAATATATCCAGAGGGGGCACCATAGGAGATTGAGGGAAACCTAAGACCGCCTTCTGGAGCTAGTCCGTTTCCTTCCCAAATTATAGCCAAGTGAGCCTTACGCCGGGAGCCTGTGTTTGATCGTCTGGTGCGGTAAGCATTCAGGGGAAGAAAAGTGCATGGAGACATGGAGAACTGAGGTGGGGGCGCCTGGGGCCTGTGGTTGACAAGCAGCAGGCCACTCTGGGGAATGCAGCCGGTTTACCACTTACTCCAAAGCTGAAGACAGTGGACGGCTTTGTCCATCTCCTTTATTTGTTCCAGAGCCCTGCGGCTCCTGGAGCTGCCAAATCCCCGACTCTCCGCGCTCACACACGAGACATGAGGGAAAACATTAAAAGCAGGAAGGCACTTTAAAAAATTATGTTTGGCAGAGCCGGCTGCCTTTTTTGCAAGGCCCAACTGAGTAACACAGGAAGCAGAAAGGGTGGGGGCGCCCCCTGGCTCCCAAGGTTAGAAGAATCCGACAAACAAGATCAAAACAGGAGCTGTGAGATACCACTTCCTGCCTCCCCCACCCCCCCACCCCGGCACCAGGAAACTCACGGAGGGGGCCAAACCTCAGAACAGGCTGCCTCCTCTGCCCCCAGGCAGTTACAGACCGGAAACGATGTGAGCTGGAACCAGTCAGACCTTCAGGCCAAAAGGGGTCGAAGAGCCTCAGGCGGGGGTGGGAGGGCAGTATGTGCAGACCCTAAAAGTGTACCCCTGGACCTGGCTGGGAAAAGCCAGAGAAAAGCAGGAAAACCGCTTCCTGGCCCTTTCTCTGGGAAGCTAGCTCTCATTGCGGGCATACCCCTCCCACCCTGCACACATGCCTACCTTAAATACGACCCACGACACCCTGCACCTGGGAAGGGACAGGGTGAGGGAAGCCCAAAACAGCAAAGAAGTTGGCATCTGTTCAGCTCAGATACTGGAGAACTGAGAAACTGGTAACAACTCTCGTCCAGCCTTGCTCGACCCTGAATCTCAGGGCTGGCCTCACTCTTGGAAAGCCCACAGCACCCTTCTACATGAAACGGACCCTCCTCTCAGGGAAGCTCTCTCCCAGATCCGCCACCCCCAGCCCCCCAACGACTACTTTCCCCTTCGTTTGTTGCTTTCCTAAAGAATGTCTTCGTCTGAAGTCCAGGTTGTGTGCACGTGCATGTGTTGGGGCTGGGGTGTTAGGGGAGGGAATGGCCTGAGGGGAAACCCCCTTTTGCTTTTCAGGGGAAGATCCATGTCCTCACTGGCCAAAGCTGAGAGGAGCTGGGGGTACAGAAGTGTCCGGAAGAGAGAGGCGTCAGGAGGGAGGGAGCGGCCTGGGTAGAAGCGTTTCTACCAGGGCCTCCAACTATGATGTTCTGAGTCATTTAATAGAGAACTTCAAGATACAGAGGCCTTCAGGGACTAGCTTGAGTTTCCTTTTTCCCAGTGCAGAGAAAAAGAAGACCCTCCTCTCCCGAAACATCCTGTGTCACCATTCCTCCCCTCCACATCTGGGAAGAGTTCAGTTCTACAAATACAGAGCACCTACTGTGTGCTATGCCCCATGGGCTGGGATAGAAAGCAAACTTTTGGGCTTGCAGAACTTAAGCCCACTCATTAACTTATCCCTTCTGCTACAGGGGCAGCTCAATGAAGACAAGTTGAAGGGCAAACTGAGGTCCTTAGAAAACCAGCTGTATACCTATACTCAGGTAAGCTTTCTGACAGCTCCAGGCCAGGACCCTAAACTAATGGAGAAGAATGTTGAATGTCAGTCCTACTTTCTAGAAAAGGCATCGGACAGAAGGATTCACACACACCTTCCTACTCACTCATCTCTGGCTTTGCTGTTCTCATTTTGGTCCCCAATTCACCAAAAAGCACTATATTCATCCTCCTCCCTTGTCACCAAAGCACTATATCCATCCTAATCCTCCTTTGTCACAGTGCACCTCTCTTTGTACCAAGCACTTCTCAGCTCCAGGAGAACTTTGAGAGAACGAAAACTGTAAGTAGTGGTCTTTGGTAAGAATTCACACCACCCAGCTAGAACCTCAGAAGTGCCAGTATTTGAACAGATGCGTTAGATGTTATAAGACAATCTTGTAAAATAATTTTCATTCCAGGGACTTTTATCTAGTAGACACTCCAGGAGGATGTAGAAAGGCGGTGGCTCTCAGCATTTCTGTGACATGTTTATCCAGCTTCAGTAATCCCTTGGTCTTGAGCTGCATAAGACAGAATGTAGGAAATCAGCTCGTACACTTAGGAAGTGATGAATCCTTGGCAGATGGGGAGTTGTCAAATGCGATGGAGATTATGATGCACAAACTGACTGTTCACATTTGGAGTTAGATCAGACAAATGTGGCCACACAGTTGAGGTTTTCAGGGGAATAGAGTTTATAGATCATCGTTTTGCTGGACGTGTATAATGTTTTTTCAGTATGACCTGATTTAAAGAGACCAACCTATAATCCCTAATGTCAGTCTATTTGTTTTCAATGGGGAGATAAAGCTCCCCATCAGCCAGCACAGTTAAGTCCACCAACTGGGGCATCCCAGTGAACTCAACCAATAACTCCTGGAGATGGTGTCTAGTGAAACTTCTGAGAACATGAGCCTCGTTCACATTGAGATGCAAATTTCCAGATGACCCTATAACTAAGTAGAGCTTATTTCATGCTGATCCTTAAATTTGGATGATCTGGATTTTGGCTTCCCCCATGAGTACAAAATTGACAGTCAAAGCCATCAGCCTGCCTCCAAAATCCCAGGGCACAAAGATAAAAGGAAGAGGAACAGGCAAGACCCCTAGTGAGCCTGCCAGGCTGTTCTTGGGTCTTTCTTTCTTGGTCTTGAAGCCAAAAGGAATTTAAAAAAAAAAAAAAAAAAAGCAAAGGTATTAAGTGACTGGGGCTTTCTCAAAGCCCTGAATCTATAAAGATAACAAAGATGCTCCCTGCCCTGAAAAACCCTACAATCCAATAAGGAGCCCTGGTGGCACAATGGTAAAGCGCTCTGCTGCTAACTGAACGGTCGGCAGTTTGAGCCCACCAGTGACGGCACGGCAGAAAAGACACGATCGTTGCTCTCGTGAAGATGGCGGATTAAGAAACCCAAAGGGGGCCATTCTCGTCTGTCATATGTGGTCATTAAGAGTTGGAGTCGCTTGATGGCGCCGCAACAGCATCAAGGAGGGGCTCATTTGGGCTTTAAGTAGAAGAGTGATGTCCCTGAGTGGGGCATAAATGTTTTACGTTAGACTATAACGTAGATGTTGGTTCATTTAAACCCACCCAGCAGCACCCCTAGGAAAAGGCCTGGGGATCTGATTCCATTTATATTATATTCAAGAAAATTTGATGGAGTTGTTGTGGTCTCTTAACACCTGGGGTCACTATGAATTTGAATAGACTTGACAACAACTAAGCAAGAAGGGAGGCAGGTGGTTAAAAAATTGGAATAATCGAAGAATAAAAAGAATACTTTTGAACACTAAGGAAGCTACCCAATCCATGATTTGGGAGATAGAGGTTATTAGTCAAGATTTGGCTGAGCTGATGGACACTTGGGCCGAATCTTCAGCATGAGGGAGGGTGGGTAAAGAGGCTGTTGGCAGAAGTCGCTATATGGGCTGCCCCAGAGGTCAAAGAAGTCTGGTGCTTAGGAAATGAACAATCAGCTCACCTTGGCTGGAAGTAACACGGAATGAAAATCTGGGTATGTAAATAAGAGCCATGCCAATGAGTATGACCTTATTCCTTAAGATTTAAGGAGTGACATGATCAGATTTTCATCTTAGAAAGCTCTAGCTACAGAATGGAAGAGTTGAAAGGAAGGCTTGGCCAGACTACTACATTATTGCATATGATCAGAGCCTGAACTAAGGACAGAGCAAGAGAAGGCAGCTATGAGCTGTTAGAGACGTGACTTGACAAGCCTTAGTCACCAGTTGGTTCCTTGGAGGAAAGGATAGGAAGGTCAGGGATGGCTCTCTGGTCGAAGCTTGCGAGACAAGGTGGGCAATGATGCTTGTCACTGGACCGGAAACCTGGGTGCCAGCAGCAGATGGAGAAAGATGGACTTCCGTTCAGAATGTTGGGTTTCAAGCACTATGAAAGGCCGAAGGGACAATGTTTAGCATATCTAGAAAACTGTTTGCCTCCCTTCCCATAGAACCCTGCCCAGCTCTACCATGAACCTGAAGGTCCACCTCGTTACTGGCACCTCTGCCCTTAGGGCAGACCATTTTCTCATCTGTACCCTACCCTAGCTCGGTGTTTGGCACCCTAAATCCCAATGTGTACTTACTGAATGACTTCAAACATACAGAAATACCCCCCCTGGGGGATGAAAAAGGCGCTGTTGGAGATGGAAGACCAGAAAGACAGCTATGAGCAGAAGGCCAAGGAGTCGCTGCAGAAAGTGCTGGAGGAGAAAATGAGTACCGAACAGCAGCTGCAGAGCACGCAGGTATGCGAGGCTGCAGCCTCCTCAAGGCTGGGGGCCCCAGGGGCTGCAGGGCTCCTCTGCAGAGCCTTGGAGCCAGTTGCCCAGTGCCCTGGAGTCCACAAGCAACTCCCTCTCTTCTCTGGTCTCCCTCAGCGGTCCCTGGCCCTGGCAGAGCAGAAGTGTGAAGAGTGGAGGACCCAGTACAACCATCTGCAGGAGGACTGGAGGATCCTGGGGGCCCAGCATAGAGAGCTGGAGAGTCAGCTCCACGTACTTCAGTCCAAACTGCAGGTGACTGGCACTCGGGCTGAAAAAAGACTGCAGGTGCTTGGGGTGGTGAGAGCAACAGCCGCTGGGCTGGGGGCCATGCAGGCAGCTGAGAACACGCAGCTTTCAGTTCCTCACTCACTGCCCACTGGGTATCGGACTCACTGCTCTGGCTCCGGGATCGAATTGTGAGTTTAGCGAGGCTGTGTACACTGCTCATGCAAATGAGGAGGGGTGCATTGGAACAACGACATTCAAGTGGAGAAGGCTGTCTTGGAATACTCATCAGCATACTAATACATCTCCAACCCCTGGCTGTCTGTACCAACCCAGGAGAGCATTCAATTCAGGCTTGCCCACTATTGGCACTGAACAAATGCCACTAACTTATGTATAGGCAAGTATTAACTAACACATCCTGCCAATGTCATTTCTAAGTGATTACAGTAGACCCCAGGCATTCTCAAAGGTTCTGACATTCCCAATCTGGCATTCTCGGGGGCTCGACTTTTCCAATTGGCACGATCTTGGGGACGTTAACTAACCTCTGAATCTCGGTTTCCTAAAATGAAGGTTCTCGTACCTACATGATTGCTGTGAGGACTAGATGAGGTCACTCATACACGGCATGTAGCACAATGCCTGATACAAAGGAGAGGGCTTCAAAATGTCCACGGGAAAATCCCATTTCTCCATGAACTTTTTGCAGCCCGTGTGAGGATTCAACAAGTGGTAGCAACTCTTTTTCATAGATTTCACGTGTCGCTTGGAATTTAGATTTACTGTAAAAGGAAGTCTTCGTCATTTGATTGAAGCCAGGCCCTGCGTAGACTGTTTGATAAGCAGCACGGGGAGTGAGCCTTTTTTGGGGGGAGTGAGCTTTATCACATCAATGATCCTGACTGGCCACGCTGTACCCTCCTCGCAGCCTCACTTTCTTGGTAATCTCTTCTTCCCATCACCCACGAGGCTACTCTTCTATTTTGGAAAATGAGCCTCCCTATGGAACACTATCGGTAGTGCCAGGAGCAGAAATGAAGGGGCAGGAAGACCTCTGGAAGAGTGAGCCCATCCTCTTCGTTTGGAGATTTAGCGAGTTGCCAGGAGGTGTGTCCCTTGTGACTATCGGAAACCTTAGGCGTTGAATGGGAGAAAGACGGGCTCTCTGCTCCCTCAGAAATGTACAGTCTCAGAAACGCTCAAGAGCAGCTCTCCTCTGCCCAGTAGGGTCTCTCTGAATCAGAACTGATGCAACAACAATGAGTTTTGGTTTGAAGCCATAGACGGAGGTACTGCCAAAAAAATCCCAAACATTGCACTAGTTTTCCATTTCCCTGGGAGCCCTGGTGGCACTCTGGGAAAGCCCTGGGCTGCTAATCACTAGGTCATCAGTTCAACCCCACCAGCCCCTCAATGGGAGAAAGATGAGGCTACCTGCTCTTATAATGATTTAGAGTTTTCAGGAAACCTACACAGGGTCACGGTAAGATGGAATAAACTGGGTTTTAATACTTCTTCTGGCACTACTATTGTTACCCCATTTCATGCACCAACACCCAACCTCCAGCCGCACCCTGACCTGCTTTTGTGTTGGCCCCCCTACCTCCCAGGGAGCAGACAGCAGAGACATCCAGATGAATCAGGCCCTGCGACTTCTGGAGAATGAGCACCAGGAGCTGCAGGCCAAGATCGAATGTCTGCAGGGGGACAGAGAGCTGTGCGGCCCGGATACCCAGGACCTACAAGGTGCCCTTCTCCTTGGCAGCGTCAGGAGCAGGAGGGCTCAGAGAGGGGAATGGGGTGGAAAGCAAGGCTTCAGCCTTCCCTTCATGTCCCTGGTTGGCTCTGTCACTTCATTTTGCTGGGAAGGAAAGACAGAAGTGTTTGAATTACTTCAGAATGAACTTGAACCTCACTGCATTAGAGAATCCTATGTTTCAGCCCACTCCTCTGGGCCAGCCCATAGCCGTTCCCCCATCAATCACAAGTAGCCGAGCCACATTCCTAATTTGAAAGGTAAAAGTCGGCTGGAGCACAAGGCATAGCTGAGTGATCTCCCAGTAACAGCCTCTGTTGTGTCAGCTACAGGTGAGGACTAGAGAACCCGTAAATGCAACCCTTAATTCCACTGAACATTGTGGATGTACGTGAAATCCAAGATACCTGGGCTCGGGTTTCCCTCCTTAGAACTGGGGCAAGTGGAAGGGAGAACAGCTTCCATTTGATACATGTCAAAGGCCATGAACAAGATAGCACCTATTGCTAACGGTCCATTCCCAGTGTAGAGCTCACTAAGTCTTGGATCCTTCTATTGTGGTTTGCATTATTTCCTTTTCAGATCAACTAAAGAGGTCAGAGGAAGAGAAACGCACCCTGGTGACCAGAGTACAGGAGATGCAAAGTGAGTGTCCTTTCCAGATTCTGTAAATAAATAGCATCGGTCACGCCTGGGGGTTCTTGGGGCTCCTACCTGACAGAGGGACCCAAGGGAGGAGCTGGGGGCGCAGTCTTTCGTGACTCCTCTGCCGCTCTGGTGGCACTGCCATCGAGTAAACTAACAGAGATGAAAGACAAAACAGGTGCTAGTGATTCTGGAGAGCCAGCTGGGGAAATCTCCCTGTGAAGGTCACATGTGAGCAGACTGGGAACATCTTTGATAAGGAATGTTCTAATCCGGGTTCCGGAAAGCCACTCTTTGCAGTAAACAGACTAGCACAAACACCTTTCTTCTGTTTTCCAACAGGTCTGCTCCAGAATCAGTCCTTGCAGCTTCAGGAACAGGAGAAACTCTTAACAAAGCAAGGTCAGAAAATTTACTACCACAAATTCTAAGACTTTGCTCTTCCCTTGCCTCTGCCTGCCTAGAGGCAGCGAAGGTGGGCAGCACAGACTCTTGGAGTTTCTTCCAGTTCTGGAAGTCTATCAGGGTGTAAGTGTTTTAAGGACAGATCATTTAAGGGCTGACAACACTTTAACTAGTTAGCTTTCTATCCTGAGAAATATAAAGACTGTAAAAAATATATATATATATAGTAAGGACTTTACTCTCTGAAAGCATGTTGAATATTTCAATAAATTGAATTTTAACCCAGAATTTCATGTCAATTTTTATAAACTTGACTTTCCAAATTACACCCAACTCCCCAGCCCAAATAGCCACCTCCCTCTTGGCCCAAAGAGCCTGCTGCCTTAGCTTCCAGAGAAGAATCTACCCCACTACACACAGCGCCTCACTTTTCCTCTACCTGGGGCCTTTTGACATGCGCTCTCCTCACAGTTAGCGGGTAAGATAATGACAAGGCAGAAATTAGTGTCACCTCCTGTGGATAAGAAAATGAATGACTATGGTCAGACAAACTAAGGAGGGAGCTATAACAATTACCCAGAACTTCTGGCTCTAGCTTAGCTTCAAAGACTCCAGTGTCTTTTTAACTCGTGGCTGCTAGACACAAAGTCAGCAGTTCAAAGCCACCAGTCCCTCCATGGCAGAAAGACGCAACTTGCTACTTCTTCCTACTCCCAGAAAGAGTTACAGTCTACAAAAAGAAAAAGGGAATTTCAGCCTTGGAAACCCACCGGGGAAGTTCCCCTCTGTCCTAGGGTTGCTACGTGTTAGAATTGACTGATCGATGGAAGGCTGCCCACATCGAAAACCACCGCTCTGCCAGTGAGTCAGTCCTGACCTCTGCTCACTCGCGCAGTCCATTCCTAGTCACATGGACCCTAGATAGGGTTCCTCCGGAGCCTGTGCATCTGCTGGGAGCAGTCAGCCTCGTTTTCTCCTGAGGAGTGGCTGGTGGATTTGAATCGCCAACCTGGCAGTGAGCAGCCCAGTGCATAACCACAGCTAAGCCCATACCACCATCAGGCTCCTTCCTGAGACTGCAGGGTGACTGAAAATCTATCTTGAGACACATGAATCGGAATTCCAGGGTGTGGTTTGTCAATCTCATGACTTCCAAAGGAGGACAGGAGGAAAAAGAAGCTATAATGAAACAACCAGCAAGCCTCCCTAAAGAGAATGAATGGGACGTATACCCAGAGGTGCATTCCGAAAGTATCTGGCATTAAACAGGACTAGGGAACAAGAAAGGATGGAAGCCTTGCCCTCAGGGGGCTCAAATTCCAGTTCTCTAGGCCAACCTGGATCCCAAGGGGCCAAAGAATTGCATTCCATACAGTCTAGCCAGGTCCCGATTCCTTCCCCAACTCTTAGGGATCCTCACGCAGTGACAGGCCCCTTCCTCAGAGGCACAGGCTGCACTGTCACTGAGAACCTAGCTGCTCTTTTAGATCAACCTTTTGCTGTGTGGAGTCCACAGCCCTCCCATAACGACATGGAGCCTGAAGGTGCAGGGGAGAAAGACTGGGATCTCAGAGACCAGCTGCAAAAGACGACTTTGCAGCTCCAGACCAAGGACAAGGAGGTGAGACGGTGACCTTGGATAGTGAGGGGCTCCCTGGACCAGCAGAGAAAAACCAGTGAGAGCTCAGTACCTACCCCCAGGGACACAGCCAGAGGGCAGGGAGGTCAGAATTCAGGTATCAGTTGTGATTGGATGACCCCAGGGATGTTTGCCTATATAAAAAGTTTTTGCTTTGGATTGACTTATCAACTTTCCCCCTTCCTCTAACAACCCATATACTCAAAGCAGGTTTATCATAAAATAACCAGTTCCCTTGTGGAAAGGCCATCTACATGTAAATACATTCAATAAATATATGAACTCCTCAAAGCTCCTCTTGCCTCGAGTGGGTATCTTAAAAGTTTATGGAGTGTATCGCAAATAGCAGAGTTCTTCCCGCCCACACATTCTCATACAACTTAACTAGTCCCCCAGGAACGGGCTGTCCGCCAGTCCTTTGGGGGCCTGTTGGGCTGTAATTTCCGTTTGGGGCGTCCCCGTTACAAAGCACTCACACATCCAGCATCCCAGAAAAGGGTGGCACCATGATAATGCAAGGCTTAAAAGAACACAACCTAAATCTCTGAGGAAGACTGAGAAGGGAGGCTAGTGGTGAAAACTCCCAAGCATGGGGGTGGAGGCGGGGGGATGTGTGCGTGTGGAGTGCTTCCACAGGGCTGGCTCCCCACCTGCGCTGTCCTGGACAGACTGGTGATGACCGTAGTGGCTTTCTCCTTCTCAGTGCAGAGAGCTCCATGCAGAGCTGGACACCCTCAGTGACGAGTACCTCTCCTGCCTGCGGAAGCTGCAGCACTGTCGAGAGGAGCTGAACCGGGCTCAGCAGCAGCCTCCCAGAGTAAGAGGGCCCTGTCCTCCTAGCGTGCCCAACGTACGAAGGGGAGACTCCTTCAGCTGAGTCTTGCATGTAAAATATAATAATCTATGCCAACATCCGGCTGGCCTACCCCACTCAGCTTGGTCGATACTACCCACCGTGGTGCCAACCATGGGAAGAAACACTGCCTGTGTATCCATGTCCAATTTTCATGGCCCTCTTGAGCACAGAGGAAAAGGCTTCCCTTAGCTAAAGTGTGCAATCATGTCCTTTTTGCCTATTATGAGCATGGCAGCTTGGACAGAAGAGGAGCATTGAGGAAGATGAACAGAGAATAATACCACCTGCTGAGCTGTCCATCCATAGCAGCATTTAACTATCTGGCTCCTGAGGAAGGTGGCTTATGAACCAGTGGTAAAGTGGTTTTATCCCAAGGAATGGGACTGAGAGGGAGACACTGAAGGAAACACCTTTTCCCCTTCATCAGGCCAAGGTCTCCCCATGGGCAGGAATGGGAAGGACACATTCTTTTTGCCACGCTTGCTAGTTCACCTTCTCTTTCTCCCACTCCTCCCTCCCTCCCCAGAGGCAATGTGGCCGGTGGCTCCCGATCCTGATGGTGGTGATTGCTACAGTGCTGGCAGTGTTATTGGCCAACAAGGAGAGGGTGATGATCTAAATAGCTTGTGACAGCTGCCCTAGGTAAAAAGCAGAAGCACAGACTCAATGGGACACTCAGGAAGTCTGGATGATTTTACAGATTATTTCTCCCATCAATTGGAAAGGCAACTTTTGGGGGCTTTATTATTATTTTTTAACATACTGTGAAATAAACATCAACTGACCAGTCTCCCTTCCTCAGATTTCTTTTTATTCCTAAATAACACATCATATCACAAAAGATAAGAGACACACTTACACATCCTAGTCTACTTTACCTGGTCCAAATCAAGGCAAGTTTGGGCCTTTTCTTTGCTAAGCAGACTGCCCACACAGGGCACATCTTTACAAGGCTGGCCTACCAGGGTACACTGCTGTGTCCTACCCACTCTTCCTCTTTCCCACCATCGCTCCTTTTCTATCCTATCCAATCAACAAATGCACAGCCAAGTCAAGAGGGCGGCCTAGTCAGGAAGTGGCAAACACGTAATACCAATGCTGTCATCACCTATTCCCATGCCCAGGGCAGATGTGGTCAGTTGTGTACAGCATTCTTTTCCCTTAAGCCCAGGTATGACCTCAACACCTTTCTCTCAGGTGCTGGAGCCAGCCCCTACCAGCGGATTGGAGTTGGCATTTGAGATGCTCCCTGGCTGGAAGATCGTTCTTCTCCGCACACCTGAAACATGGGAGGAGGGTTACAGTCAGAGGGCCACCGCTGGCAGGGTGACTATTTCAGAGGAGATACTGAGGTCAGCAAAGTCACTCTGGGTCTGACATCGGGTTGTTAGGTCCTCCTTCCAGGTGTTCACAATGTCCCTCAGAGCTAGGAACAAGCTCTCTGGGACACTGAAAGAATAGAGCAGGACTGGGGGGTAACCCAGCAGCCAGGTGGCCCGGACAGTGAACACCCGCAGTGGAGTCAGGGCTAGGCAGTTGTCATCTCCTTGGTTCAGGTGAAAGGTATAGGGGACAGGATAGCCCAGGAGGATCCCAAACACGGTACAGAAATTCCAGCCAGTGGACAGAAGCCTGCTGCAGGAGACTGCCGGGAATAAGTTCCTCCGCAGCCCCTGCAAATGCGTGACGATCTCAGCCACAAGGCCCTTCAAGTCCGGAAGCTGGTCCAACGAGCGGATAACAGGATGAGGCTGGGTGCTGGACACATCCACAAAGGTTAGGGGACCAAGCAGTACCTCCTCCAAGTGCTGGCATGCGTGCTCAGGGCTGATAATCAGGCTGTTTTCCCCAAGCTGCAGGATGTGAAGTCCCAGAGTCAGGAAGCCCAGCCTCTGCAGTTCCTCCAGATAGCTCTGGATCTGGGAAGCCCCTGCACAGTTACAGTCATAAAGCAAAGCTGGTTTCAGTCCCCGAGCCACAGCTAGCACCTCTGCAGCTAGGTGGAGGCAGGTGGCTCGGGGCGGGCTTCGTCTCTTTCCCATGCCCAGCGTCTGCTGAGCAGCTGCCACCAACAGCTGAGGGTTGGGTGTTGCCATGGGATCTGGTAGCCAGGTCCAGAACTGCCTCCTTAGCTATCTGTGGCCCCTTCCGTGGGCTGCAGCTCTCAGCTCCACACACTTGCGGAAGAAAGCCTAGAAGCAAAGCATTTTGCGAAGGATTATTAACACAAACCATGACATACCAGGCAACCTGCCCACAGTCTTTCCAAAAGTCATACAGCATTTTCCAAAGGTCATATTGTCCCTTTCTACTTTGGAACGCGAGCCCAGCCCTAGTAAAGGGTTATCACGAGCACCGGATGACTTTGCCTCTCAGCTGTAAAATACTGTGTCTACCTGCTTGCAAATGACACTCTGGTTCAAATTGTAAATCATTTGGGATGGAAGATGGGAGAGGACTTGGAGCAAAATAGGCAGGGCGTCTCTGGCAAAACTGTGTGCAACTGACCCAGAACCACCCTCCTAGGACAAAGATGTAAGTTCCAAATGTCAACTTCCAATGTCAACTTGCCCTTCCCTTCCCTTGGAAAGCAACCTGATTACAGGAACGTATTCTAGAACATCCTGTAACAATAAAATAAGTAAAATTTGTTAAAATTGCAGGAGTCCTTTAAAAGTGGTTTTTTTAAATAGCGGTGTCATGGTCAGCCTTTGTTGTTTTATACAAAAAGTACAAAGTCACTGCCATTGAGTTGCTAACAACCTACAAGACAGAGTAAAACTGCCCTTGTGGGTTTCCAAGACTGTAACGTTTACAGGGGTAGAAAGCCCAGTCTTTCTCCCGAAGAGCAAATGTGTGGTCTTGCCTGCTGACCTGGCAGATCACAGTCCAACACGTAAACACGACACCACCTGGGCTCCTGGATGGTTCAGACCTCGTAGGTTTTGCCCCTTTGTCAGCCTAGCCCTAACACTTCTGAAAACCCATCGCTTTTCATTCATCATCATCTTGATCCTCCAGGGTAAGTGAGGTTGTGCCAAAAGGTCATGGTAAAAAAGTCCCCTTCTGGAGCTCAGTTCTCTCGCCCACGAATTGGCACCTACGTGTTTTAGGCTTGTATTTTAACTTCTACGGGCCCCACCTTCGCCCTCCTTCGGACAGACGGGGACCCGGGGGCTGGGGGGAGGGAGTCAGAAGCTCACAGTCATCCCCACAGCCTCTCATTAGCATAGCGTCGGGATTCTTTGTTAAAGGAGGCAGCGATTCCTCTCACATATACTGTTCGGCCACTTCGGCGGGCGGGACGTCCGCCGCGACGCCGGGAATCCCTCCAGCAAAGACCCTTCCTTCCGCTTGACGCCGGGCCACCTAAGACGCGCCGCGGCGGAGACCCAATCTCCCCCAATCAGGTCCCGCCCCTCCTCCATGACGTCATCGAGCTCGCTCACGTACCTCGCGTTAGGAAAGAACAGGAGGTCGCCTCGCAGCGTGCCGGAAGTCCGGGCGCCTGCTGCCTGACCCCTTCCGGCCAAGGGAACCCGGCTCCACCCTGTCTGCGGAGGAATGGGCGGGGCAAAGCGGAAGAATGGGAGGGGCAGAAATGGACGACAGGAGGCGGAGCTTGGCGGCGCCGGGTGCCGCCCTGTGGCCTGAGCCCCCAGCTCCGCAGTTAATTCCAAGGCACGGTGACCCTGTAAAACAGTGTAACTTGCCCCATAGCGTTTCCTTGCCTGTAATCTTTATGCACACACACACACACGTGTATAACTGTATTAGCTCAAATATTGAGTTCTCTTTTCAAATCGTATTTTAAATTGTTTCAGTCAAGGAAGTGTTCAATACATTATATTTTTCTCTCTGAATGGCTGTAATCTTCAAGAAAGAAGATTGCTTCATTTTTCTCCTGCTGAGTGACTGGTGGATTTTAATCACGGACCTTTCATTTAACCTCTGTGGCTCCTCCCACTATGGCCTACCTTGACTGAGAAGTCAGTGCTTTATAACCCACTTTGATTTGCATATAAAGAAGTATGTTTCGCCTCCCACCTAAAGACAGCAGGCATGCTTTGTAGAATATGGTTTTACCCAGACAAAAAAAAAACAACACCCAAACTCACTGTCATCTAATCAATATTGACTCATAGCGATCCTATAAGACAGGGTAGAACTGCCCAGTGAGTTCCAGGCTGTTTCCAGATTGTGAATGTAGACAACCTCGTCTTTCTCTCACAGAGCAACTGGGACCTTGCGGATCTCAGGCCAACGTGTAACGACTGCACCGCGGGCACGACCGAGGCTGTAGAAACTAAAACACACACAAACCAAACTCAACACCATCACAGCAGTTTCAACAGAGACCTACAGGGCAGAGTAAAATTTGAAATACTTTTGGGTCTGTGGGTTTCCCAGGCTATAAATCTTTCTGGGAACAGACAGCCTCATCTTTCTCCTGTTGAGCAACCTGTGGTGTTGAACTGCTGACCTTGAGGTTAACAGCCCAACTTGTAACCCACTACACCGCAAGAATCCCTAATTGTGGAATGAATGCAAAGTCGGTTGTTTTATTTTACTTGTATGACTTGCCTCAATGCCAAATCTGAGAGGCTGAATGCCAAGAGGAACTATGGAAACCTATAGTTCTAGGCACGGTTATAATGTTTAGGTAGGGTGTAAAGTGTGAAAGCATTCACTCTAAGCAAAAGGTACAAATAAGTATTGCTTTGTATAAAATAGATGAACATCCTACCCATAGGAAGGTTAAATTCTAGGAACTCGGTTTCTTGCTTCACATGAAGCGGCAGCACCAGGGATTGCACAGGCTTTCTTTCCATCTGGACATTAAGATGAAGGGAAAGTTAACACTACCATCCATCTAATTCTCATGACAATGGGAGGGATTTTTTTTTTTTTTTGCCTTTCAACAGTCTCATTGGTATATAATTCACATATCATACAACAGTTCAGTCACATTAAGAAGAGCTGTAAGATCGTCACCACAATCAATTTCCATCACTCTTGTACTCATGGGTGATTAGTTCCCTACTTCCCTTCAACCTCCCCTGCCATACTCCCAATGAACCATTAAACCAGTTACTGTGTCTCTAGATTTATCCATCCTGGACAAAGGGAGTTTCTTGAGAACCATCCTGAGGAAATGGCCCAAATTTGGGAACTGGGATCATTTGTGCTGTGATTTCAGCCCAGCAAAATCCCTATTTGAAAAAATTATGTTCTTGTGCCTAAACCTTGGTATCTTTAGGCTGTAAAAACTGTTAACTGTGGACTAAAGATGGGAATTAACATAACCATGCTGGTTAGGAAAAAAAGAAGAAGAAAAATAAAGACTATTTTAGTTTATTCATTTATTCCAGCAACAAATATTTGAGAACACACTGTGTCAAACACTATGCAAGATGCTCACAGCACAGTCCAAGACAAACAGTCCTCTCTTCAGCAAGTTTGTGGTCAAGCAGGTGAAAGACGCTGAACAATTACAAGGGAAATGATCATTTCGAAGGGGAACTTTGGGACTATGGAAATATATAACAGGGTATGCAATGTCGTTGGATGGAGTGGGCAGGCAAAGTGGTGGAGACACACCCCAGTGTTAAGTAATGAGAGGGCAAGAAGAAAACAGAGTTTCCAAGAAAAGAAACATGGCATCCATCCTAATAGGACTGGAGAAAGAGCACCCAGGGAGATGTGTGGAGAACCCCACATGCATGTGCCCCACATCCCGTCGAGGATGTCAAACAAGAAAGCTGACTGATCTAGCTAAGATCACATAAAACCACTCATCGAACCCAACCCTCTAACACTTTCTACTACAGCTGCATATTTAAAGGTTAGTCCTTGGTACCCCACAGTACAATTTTCAATACTCTTTATCATCTCACATTAGGTATGTGAGCTTACATCCATATCAATGGCCTGCCTGTCAGGGGAAAGGAAGGTACCAGCCCAGACCCAATTACTTGACTTCCCAATTTACCTACTGTGAGTTCTTTTACCTTAGATCTACCTAGACACTGACAGAGGCAACCTAAATTTCGGGACCAAAATGCCTTATTTCACCTACTCAAACCAAATGACCAAACAAAGGTAAAGTTTCTTTGCCTTCTAGTATGCCTCCTCATCTCTAGAAGCCCAACTCTTGCTTCCAATGGGGCATCTGGCTTTTACTGAAATTCCTGTGGAGTGTCTTGTGACTTTGTCATTGGCAACCCAACACATAACCCACCAGGCCAAGTCCCCTAAAACCAAAAAAAGGGAAGAAAACCAAAAACCCAACTCACTGTCACGGAGTCAGTTCAACTCCTAGAAACCCTACAGTACAGAGTCAAGCTGCCCCTGTGGGTTTCCGCGGCTGTAAATCCCTACAGCAGTAAACACTTCATCTTTCTCTCAAAGAGCACTTGATGGTTTTGAACTGCTGACCTTGTGGTTGCCAGCCCAACTCATAACCTCCCATGCCACCAGGGCTCTCTACCAGGTCCCTTAAAGATCCTAACATCAAGGGTTATGGTTTCTAAATAAATAAATACGACCCACTGCCACTTTTGCTTTGGATTGAGCCATTAGCATGGGTAGTAGGCGAGACCTGGACTTCCCTACTGTGACTTGGTACCCACACGGCATTCAAGAGGAATGACATCTGCACCCAGAGATTAGCATCTTATCTTCATTTTTTGGTCTTGGAGTTTAAATTAGGTCTCATTTCCTCTCCAAATGAGAGACCAAGAAAGAAGAAGAATGGCCAGAGCCTGAGAATAGGTTACCCGACGAGACCAGTTTGTGGGAGACCCAGCGGCTTTGTTCTACATCACTCTTCACCAAGCAGGTTGGTGCTAGTCCAGCCTCCTCCAAAAAAGCATTGCCCAGCCCTTCTGTATGCTGGCCTTCACACAGCAACACACCATCTATCACAACTGCAAAAAATCCCCATGAGAGTAAGACTGAAACTGACCAACAATGAGAGTAGAGATACCAGGAGGATTAGGGGAGGGTGGGGGAGAAATGGGGAATCGATCACAAGGCTCAACCTAGAACCCCCTCCCAGGGGGGACAAATAGAGTAAAAGAGGGTGAGGGGCGACGGAGGATGATGTAAGATATGGAAATAATAATCTATAACTTATCAAGGGTTCATGAGGGAGGGAGGGCGGGGGAGAGAGGGTTAAGAAATGGGGAGCTGATATCAGGGGCTCAAGTGGGAAGAGAATGCTTTGAAAATGATGGCGGCGGCATATGTGCAAATGGCTTGACACATTGGATGAATGTATGGATTGTGATGATATGTAAGACCCCCCCAATAAAAGTACTTGGGGGGGGGGGGACAACAAGGAGGAACTGTCCCTACTGTAACCAGAGGTTTAACTCATTCCCAATTCATCCTCTCTGAAGAAAATCAGGAAAAAAGCACCCTTCCCTCTGAAGGCTGCCTTCCAAATCCTCTACCACACACATCCAATGACATGTGTTTGAGAGGTGGCCAGCCAAACCGGACAGCTGATTGGTCCACAGACCCCCTAGGCTCCCTCTGTCAGCAGCTCCGTTTATGAGCTTTGCCTCTACAGGCAGGGTGACTTTCAGACTTTGGCACCCATTTCTATTTAGATGTCAAGCTTGGTTCCCAAGCAACCAGCCAGCTCCCCCGCCCACTCCCCACCCCCTCCCTTTCACTCTCCCTATCAGGCAGGTAGCTTACTATACTAGCAGAACAGGTCAAACAGAGCTTAATCGTGGAGAAATCCGTGTTGGAGGGAACTTCAATGAAAGCAAGAGAGAAATAGAAAATAGGTGGTACAAAAAGAAAGGCAGAAGGGTTTGGGTTCCCGGCACTTCACCTTGCACAAGTCGAAAGAAGTCGTCAAATCAGATTCTTAAAGCTGGAGGCAGTCTCTGGCATCAATCCAAGCCTTGCGCTTTACAAGGGATGAATCTGATGCCAACAGGAGAAATGACTTGTTCAAGGTCACGCTATCACAAGCAAGAGTGGCAGCTAGAAGCTGGTGTCCCAGGCCTGACTTCCTTCTACCACATTACACTACCACAGGGAGCTTCAGAAAAGGACAGGCACATCTGGAAAGTGATTTTTCCATAAATTACATCAACTTCTAAAGCAAGGCACATTTGGAAAGAGCCATAGACTATCAACAGTGTGAGACAGAAGAGGGTTTGAAAAGCAGGCTAAATCTGAAGAATATAAAATATCCATATGTACAATATTTCTTTTTTAAAAAGACTGGGCAGAAGAAGGCATCCATGATTACTGGGCGGGCAGGGCAGAGGGCAGTTGCATGCTGGGGGCGGGCTGCATGGGCTGCCAGCTCTCTTGGGTTTGCAGGATGCGGTACAGCTGCTTGAGCTGAGCAACGATGTTGTCTTTGATGTCTGGAGTTGAGATCTGCAGGCGGACACTGCCACTGTCAAAGGAGCGCGTGAAGTCACCGGAAAACATCTCGAAGATCATCCGAGCCACCACAGGAATGACCTGCCCGGGGAAACATATGGGGGTGTGTTTGCATGCAACAGGAGGGACTCAAGATTCAAGTGAGGGCCAAGGAGTCCCTGGAGAAGCCCCCCCCCCACCCCTCTGATCTCACCTTCATCTCTCTGACCATCCCCTGCAGTCTAGAAGGGACCCAAATGAAGCGAAGGCACTAGATGTAGCGTCACATCATGCCTGAAGATTTGACCCTTCACCACATTTCCTCTGTTGCCTGCCTCATCACACAACCCCGGGAGGCCGGGCCGCGGAGCCTCTCTGCTCCTTCTGAGAGTAAGTGAGGACTCAATGTTCTTGTGATGGGAGGACGAAATGAGGAGCTATTACTCGAGGAGAACCGTTTTCTTGTTGCTCCATGATGTCAAGTTGATTCTGACCCTTGACAGAGTAGAACTGCCCCATGGGGATTTTTAGGCTGCAGTCTTTCTAAGAGCACATGGCCAGGCATTTCTCCGCTCTAGCCACGCGTGTGGGTTTCAGCCTCCAACCTTTCGGTTCGCAGCCAGCACGTGGCCGCGGCACCACAGGGCTCTTTAGTGTCCACTCCGGGAGATGAAGAACACTTGAACATGGAGAGAGGTGCTGGTTGCACACCGAGGTGCACATAACTGATGCCACCGAACCGTCCACTTAAAAAATAACTTCAATGGCAAGGTGTTTTTAATACATATTTTATCATTATTTAAAAAAACAAAAACAGGAGAGAAGCACTTTTCCAACCAGGCCCAGCGAGGTCTCAGCAAGACTTAAATGGCAGTACCGTGGTCAAAGATACGTTCTCCATGAAATGGGTCATTCGATTTTGAGTATCCTTTATCTTCTAGCCTGGTCAAGTCCACTGCCACCCATGGAAGGGAAACCTACTCAGGGCTCGACCCAGACCAAGAGGCCAAACCCTTGACCCAGTGTGACCTTCTCACCTGAACCAAGATGAGCTTCCTTTCCAGCGGTTTCCCGTCAGGCCACTCTTCTCCAAAGCATAAGTAGATCTCGAAAGGCGGCTGCTTCTCTATCTGTCCTTTCTGGTGGGCGATGAGATCTGCGGAAGGCAGAAACATCACATTGGGTGTACGGAGTGACTCCTGTACGGAGTGACAGCTTGAGCTGTTCGCCACGAGTCACGTGTTGGCTATGTTATTGACAATGACATCGTTCCACAGCCACATGAGTCACAGGGGGTGCTTTCTATTGAGCATCGTTGATCTAAACCCACTTTGGGTTCAAACCATCGTGGAGATTTTATAGCTCATTTTATATGCCTGCTTGAATCCACCACTCAGGTATTTCCCCAAAGGAAAGACTATGATTGGCTAAATACGACAAAGAGGATCAACTTGCAGTCGTACTATCTAGCATTTGAGGGATGCTGACAAGGCTGTCTCTCGCTTCTGCCAACCTGAAAATAGCTTCCAGGCGCCAAGCTTTGCAGTCGAACTCCCTTCTTCATTGCCTAAGACATTTTCATTTCTCAGTCAAGGCTCTCTCTCTTCTCCCTTCTTTTCCTCCAGAATGAGGTTTTTTTAAAAATTTAACTAAGGGCTCTGCATAGGGAGGAAACTGAGGAGTGAAGTGGAGGACAATGGGGCAGAGAGGAGGGATGGAAGGGGGAAGACACAATTCCAGGGAGCAATTCACACAACTGGCCTACTGAAAAGACACTCACCACTAAGGAATGTTTCCAGGCAAAATAGCTTGACCTTCTTTTGTCTCTCAATCAGGTTGGGGGCAACAAGCGAGGGGGCACATGGCCCTGACCAGTACACCTTGCACTGGCACAGCCTGATGGCATAAATGGCATGCCCGCTGACCTCCAGGATCAGTCCTCTGTCCATGACGTCCAGCAGCTTGCTGGTGAAAAGCTTCTGCTTCTCATTGGTGATATGCTCGGGGCCTGGAAATTTCACCTGCTCCAGGCTGACGGGACCAAAGAGCTCCTCCTGGTCAGGCATGGGTCCCAGATCCCCGTAGAAGAGCCGGCAGCCCTGGGGGTTGCTCACGGTCATGGTCTGCCCATACTCTTTCCCACGGTACTGAAACTTGATGTCCAGATCAGTCACTGCAAGACAACAGAGACCTGAGTACTCTGCTCTACTGCTCTGCCTAAGGCCCCTGGGAGTCCGGAAAGATCAAGCGCCCTTTCAACCAGCTTTCAAGAAGGCCCCTCCCAGAGCTGCACTTCCAGCAATAAAAGGTGACAGCAAAATATCCCCAGAGTAACCACTCAAAAGACTACCTGGAAACAAACAGTTCAAGGTCCATCTATACTGCTTCTGGTCAACCGTCACACCCTAAGGCTAGAATGTCATCACGCAAAGTGATGGCCCTGGGCTTCCCTGCTTCATAGTAAGAGTCTCCACATTAGTGGGTACTCAGAAAAGCTCCAAAGTAAGATAGCTTGTTGCTGTTTCATTTCTGTGCTTCATCATTTAAAGAAATCAGAAGAGCTTGAAGCACAATTCCATCTTTCTAAAAATGTACACATGTGCACACGCTGTGGATCTGGCCTCACTATCAACAGTTAAAGGGCAGAGTAGACAGCAAAGCAAATCTCCCTCAACAGGCCCCTATTGAACCCCACGGGTCTTATCCAAGCTACTGAACCTTTGGGACCACATTTCAGTTTTCAGTACTCACACCCCAGACCAGGTGTGTCATCAAAGGGAGACCTGAGCCATGAGACGGATTGCTGGTTGAGATACGCTTGTGACCAATCCAGAAAGAGGCCCCTCAAATCCAGAACTTCCTAAACCAAACCCATGGCCATTTAACCCCCTATACCATAACTGGCCTTGCACCCAGATCTCCTAGCCACACTGATAAATGCAGGCCTCCCGCCCACCTATGAGGTTTGGTCACCTGGAGCTGTAACCAATCAGAGTAGGGGCAAGTAGGCATGAGCTCAGGTTTCTCTAGTCCTCATCAGCCAACCAGGAGCCAGGCACGGGCAGCTATTCTATATATGGCAAAGAAGTGGGGGCAGAAGGTAGGCAGGAAGTACTAGGATCCAAACACCCGGGTAGAAAGTCCAGGGCTCACTCACTTGGCAGAGAGCTGATCCACAGCTCTGGAGAGCTATAGAAGGGCTGTATGGGAGCCGGGGGCACTTCCATCTCCAGAGGTTCTGTTTTGGGCCACACTGCTTCAGGGCTGCAGTTGCCCACACTGCAATTGCCCACACTGGCTGGTGCCATGGGAGAGCCTAGAAAAGAAGGATGTAGGTGAGCAGGTGGGGGCACCACACATGCCCATCACCTGCCCTGAGGCTCTGAGGACTAACAAGATCAGCAGGCAGGAGTCAAGTACTAAACCATGATCCAAAGATGATTTCTGATCAACGATTTCCATAGATAACGCAATAAAAAAAATGAGATTCGTATACTTCGGCTTTCCTTCCTAATCATATTAGCTCTCCCACGACATACAGAGTTTGCTGATAATGAGAAGCCAGAAAAGGGCATTATCGCGGAGCGTTAAATTAGAAAGGATGTGAGTGAGACGTTCCCAATTGCAAAATGTGACCTCCATCTGTCAAACAGAAGCTGATTATCTCCCATCAAGTAAAAACCAAACCAAACCACTGCTGTGTGACACCGGCTCACAGCAGTGACCCTGCAGAACAGAACAGAGCTGCTCCCTGGGGTGCTGAGGCTGCACGTGTTTACAACCGGGAGCAGAAAGCCTCATCTTTCTCCCTGGTGGATCTGAACTGCTGGCCTTGAGGTTAGCAGTCACTGCATAATCGACTCTACCACCAGGCCAGGCCCTTCCCACCACATGAACTTAACTGAAGCAGCTGATGAGTCCTAAGCAAATGACAGTGCATGACATTCTATGGAGAACAGCCGAATCCCTTGTCATGCCCAACAACTCATCTCTGGGAGGATACTGAGAACCTAGAAAAATGTGTTTCTTTGGGGGAAGGAACTGAGAGACTGAGGAATAAGATGATAAGGCAATCCCCTGAACAAAATTACCTTTTTGTACCAGTGTAAATTCTAAACCACGGGGAAGCATGATTGATTCAAAATGATCCAATCAATTCCTTGAAAAATAACGTTGAAAATCCACCCACTTTGCTGCCATGACCAAGGATTCCTTCCAAAGTCTCTGCATGCCTGTTCCCAGCCTCATCTCCTAGCCACCCACTCTCCAACTGCTCCTCTTCCTCAGCCCGACAGCTCCAAACGCAGAGGTTAGTGATGCTTTGGCCCTTTTTTTATAAGCCTAGTTCACATCCATTTTCATTTTAAAACAATCTATTGCTATTTTTATTTTTTATCTTTGGTGTGTGTATCTGTCAGAAGCTTTTGCTTGTTTGTTTTTATGATTCATTTGTGTGTGAGCTTTTCCCCCCAACAGTTTTATTGGAGCATGGTTTACATATCATACAATTTCTCTGCTTTTTTGTAATACAGGTACAGTCCCCGTGTCTTTCCAGAATGGATTCAAGACAACACACAGCAAAAGGACATGGAACAAACACTTTAATCATATACAAACCAAAATAATCAGAATCCTGGAAATAGATGGTATCTTTGCAGGGGGTCAGAATGACAAATGAATCAGTCAAGGTTTAGGGAAAATATCCCAGATTTCCAGATGTCCACCTCTTAGAATTTCACCAGGTGGGAATGTAGCATGTGGCAGCAATGACCTGAAAGGCCTCCGAGAAATGTTTCTTTCCTCACTGCTTGGTTGCAGAAATAAAATGTCAGGATCAGTGAAGGAGGACCAGTGGAGAGACAAAAGTCACTTCCTGATTCGCAAAGCAGGGCTGCAGGTTGTGTAGCATGTCCTACAAAAACCATCCCACCATCCCGGGTTTTCCAGATGGCAGGGGCATCTCATTGGACGCACAGCAGCGGCTCTTACTAGGAAGGCAGGAAAAGACCCTGCCCAGCTGAGCCCATGCCATCTGAGCAAGAGCATTTCAGTGCACAGAAGCTGCAGAAGAGCAAGGCACTGTGTGTCCCAGACCATCGGCCTACGAAGCACAGGAGGCTCAGAACTGGCCAGGCCACACACTGGAAGGCTTCTCACTGCCTAACACATTTTGCTGGGAAGCTGAGTTCACAAAGCTCATAAAAATAACATCAAAAACATCTCTTACACGTGAGCTCGCTGCTAAAAGCCTAGAGGAGCAGCTGCAGTTTCATATAATACAGTCCAAGGGGAATGGATCTGGATTTTATACCGAGAATTTCCTTGCAGCTCATGAAATGATGTCTGCACTTGGCCGGAAGGAAACAGGCGGTTTAAGAGCGCTGATAATCGAGTGGGCTTCAAGAAGTTTGTGGAAATATGGAACTCAAAGAACATGGGATTTTTGCCCCACAAACTTTTTGAAGCTGCCTCACAAGTGAAATTGGATTGAGAATGAAAGTTATTTGTTTTTACAAATTTTATATTGAAATTTGACATATAAAATGTTAGGCATTTTCTAAATCAAATGCTTATTTTTGGAAATCTACATAAAATTTTATAAATATTTATAAAAATATTGATTCAGAAAATGGTCTCCGTTCCCCAAACCCACCCCTCTAGTCGCCCTCGAACTGGACAGCGGAGTTGCTGGAACTCCCCTGGCGGGGACTCCTGCTCGCCAACATACCAGTGTGATGGTCAAGCACTTGGTCACTGCTCCCAGTAGATTGGTGGCCAAGGGGCAGCAGTTCCAAGGGAAAGGCCTCTTCCTTCCTCCTCCTCCCTCTGTGCCGCGCCCACCAGTCACACTCACCATTAATGTTCAGGAAGGGGAAGGTATCCTGGATGGGAACGTGGTGCTGAGACTGATCTAGTTCATCTTCCTCATCGTCTTCATCTATGTCATTATCCTTCTCATCCCAGGGTGCAGATCCAGTGGATCCTAGCCAAGAAATAAAGACACAGGCCTACAGGTGAGCACTTCAGGTTCAGGGCCACCTGGGTAGCTGACCCACCCATCAAGCTAAGAGGGTGGCTAGCCCAAAGGTCCCCCAAGTTCAGTGTGTATCCTCCATGCCCTCGATAAAAAGAGTGGGTGAATCAAGGGTGCATCTTAACTCACCACTGGATCCAACTCACCCTACACAACCCTATTGTTAGCTCTCTTCCCCTCTGCTATCCACAAGCTGCAGGCCCTACTCCCTCTAGAAATCTCCTAATTCCTTTTCGAACCTTCTTCGTATACACAAGCCTGCCTTCTCAGGATTTAAGGTCACCCATCTACCACCCTAGTAAGCAAAGTGTGACGGACAGGTCTTTATTTCAGGGTCTCACTGGATTTATTGGAGGATCATTCTAACTGATCTGGCTCTTAGTTGGTACTTGTTGAGCATTTGATATAGAGAAGATCCAGGCCATATGCTCTCAGCAAAAGTATCCTATGAATTACATGATCACACACCCAACATACCCAAAGAACTTAGTAGCTTTTTAAATATCATTTTATTAGGGTTAATAGCTTTTTTATGTCATATCCATGGATTTTTACAATAGCCTTTGAAGCAGGTAGAAAAACGGAGAGCCCATATGTTACAGATGGGAAAAAAAAGAAGGCTCACGAGTTCACGAAATTTGATTCAATAAGTAGCACACAAGAAGTGAAGTGCTAGCAGCCTGGTTGAGAAGTCAAATCTCCCACGTCTCCATTGCTCCTCTTCTGCACTTAAAGCAGTCAGGCTAGTCAGCCATTCCCCACAGTGAACAGGTCAGCTATGCTGAGCTTACATCTTTGTCCCCCAGGTCCTGCTCCGGGAATGGCTTTCTTGCTTTACCAGTCTTGCTCGTGCTTAGCCAGGCTGCAGTCTTTTAGGAGCAACAGTCTTCAGGCTTAAAAGTCCATCCCCAACAGAAAAGGGGGTGAAGGGAGATGTTGGACAGTGTAACACATGACAAAATAATAATTTATAAATTATCGAGAGTTTGTGAGGGAAGGGGGCGGGGAGGGAGAGGAAAATGAGGAGCTGATACCAAGGGCGCAAGTAGAAAGCCAATGTTGTTTGTTTGTTTGTTTGTTTTTTATCATTTTATTAGGGGCTCATACAACTCTTATCACAATCCATACATACATCAATTGTGTCAAGTACATTTGTACATATGTTGCCATCATCATTCTTTCTACTTGGGCCCTTGGTATCAGCAATTCATTTCCCCCATCCCTGCTCGCCCCCTGAGCCCTTGATAATTTATAAATTATTATTATTTTGTCATATCTTACACCATCCAACGTCTCCCTCCACCCACTTCTCTGTTGTCTGTCCCCCAGGGAGGGAGTCATATGTAGATCCTTGTGATCGGTCCCCCTTTTTCCCCCCACCTTCCCCTTACCCTCCTGGTATCTCTACTCTCATTATTGGTCCTGAGGGGTTTATCTGTCCTGGATTCCCTGTGTTTCCAGCTCTTACCTTGTACCAGTGCAC